AATCACGTTTTTTCTGGCAACTCAGTAGTTTTTATTCTAAGATATGACAGAAGACGGCGATCATAGACCTGAAGCTACTCATATTTCCTCGTGACAACATAGGCAGGCTTTTACACTTCCGCTCGTCGTACGAGGACTAATTACAAACCACTCATTATACATCCAAACATGATTAGCTACCTTCATTTAGGTCAGCAAATTCCGGATGTTCATTTTAAGAACTACAACTCATAGATTTAAGCGCTTCTTGAAGTTGTTTTTCAAAGCACAAAAATAACTCTACAACATGTGCTAAAGTAGGCGTAGCGAAGAGTGTCACATACGCGCATTACAGCGTGGGAAGGAGTCATGTTCCCTCTAAACATCCGACAATGGGAGTGCTTAAAAACAATGATGGGGCTCAGGGATGTCCATATGTTTTTTGATTGATTTTATTGTAATTCATCTATTTTTCAGGTACCAATTGTAAAGCATGGAAGGGTATCAACACGTGTTAACAATCTCAGTGCAGGTAATTACTCACCAAGTTCGCTATAGGGAAAAATTTTGTATTACTACTCCATTTTGAAGAAGAGTAACGACTTAAAAATGGTTTTTCTATGAAAAATTTTTTTATTAGGTGGTCATTTCCTGAAACTTTTTATTTCAAATATCTTAGTAATAGTGCATCCTTAATGAAGGATTAACTCCAAAAAGAAGTCTCTATGCGGCAAATGGATTACATGATAGTAAAACGTTAGTATTTGAAAAACATTATTGGTGTAGTACATTCTATTTTTATCCAACATCTTAAAATCATTAGACTCAGTACAGTTGTTAAACGGTGAACTATATCCTTTTACAGCTTTACTGTGCAGAATGAGATATTTTGCAGGGAACGTTTCGTGAATGTAATGCACGAATAGCCGATCTCCTAAAAAGTTAAGCATGTTTACGAGAACAAGAACCAAAAAATTATAAGAATTCACTTGCATGCGAACTTACCAGTAAGATCGATATAGCTGTTAAAAACGATCGTATTTGGAAATTATTTCAGATGCAGAAGCGATACGCTATGAAGGTTGTGATGTTTCTATAGCTGCACGCATTAAAGCATGTGCATGTTCTTTTGTATGTGTTTGTGTTGTGTGCTGAGTATCTTTTTAAGAAATCAATATTAAATTTCGGCTAGTAACCTTCCGTCT